GCCTGCACTTGCCTCTTCACCTCTTTCCTACACTCCCCATCACACTGGACTGTTGACCCCAAATACTTAAACTCCTGCACCTTCTTGACCTCAGCCCCCTGTAACCTCACTGTTCCACTTCCCTCCCTCTCGTTCATACACATGTATTCTGTCTTACCACAGCTGACTTTCATTCCTCATCTTTCCAGAGCAGACCTCCACCTTTCCAGGTGTTCCTCCACCTGCTCTCTGCTCTCACTACAGATCACAATGTCATCCGCAAACATCATTGTCCAGGGAGATTCCTGTCTGACCTCATCTGTCAACCTGTCCATCACCATAGCAAACCAGAAGGGACTCACAGCCGATCCTTGATGTAGCCCCACCTCCACCTTGAACTCCTCTGTCTGACCTACAGCACATCTCACTACTGTCGTACTCCTCTCATACATATCCTGAACTACTCTGATGTACTTCTCTGCCACTCCTGACATCCTCATACAGTACCATAGCTCCTCCCTCGGCACTCTGTCGTACGCTTTCTCTAAATCCACAAAGACACAATGCAGCTCCTTCTGAGCACCTCTATACTTCTCCATTAACATTTTCAGAGCAAAAATTGCATCAGTAGTGCTCTTTCTGGGCATGAAGCCATAGTGCTGCTCACAGATATCCACTTCCGTTCTTAGCCTAGCTTCCACTGCTCTTTCCCATAGCTTCATTGTGTGGCTCATCAACTTTATACCTCTGTAGTTGCTACAACTCTCCACATCACCCTTGTTCTTAAAGATCAGCACTAGTACACTTCTCCTCCATTCTTCAGGCATCTTCTCACTCTCTAAACTCCTGTTGAACAAACTAGATAGAAACTCTACTGTTGTGTCTCCTAGATACTTCCACACCTCTACAGGTATGTCATCTAGATCAACAGCCTTTCCACTCTTCATCCTCCTCAGAGTCTTCCTCACCTCATCCTTTCTAATCTTTGCTACTTCCTGCTCTACAATATTCACCTCTTCCCCCCTTCTTTACCTCTCATTTTCCTCATTCATCAGTTCCTCAAAATACTCCTTCCATTACCCTCTAGTGCACACAGCTGGAAAATCATGAGAAACTATCATCAGTCAAACTACTAAGGTAACATTTTTATAGGCCTATATAGGCTGATAGGCTGATGCACCCAAAATCTATTTTCATAATTTGTTAAAGCCTCTACATACCAATAGTCCCACTACTGAGAGCTTCTCAGGACTGTATTATCCAACCAAACAGACCTGTTCAGTTTTCTTACCATATGACAAAAAATAAACCACCAAGACAAACAAAATTGGTGAGGATGGAAACAGCTAATGTTGCAAAAAGAATGACTGAAACAAATAACTGACTAGAGTCTGACAAAACAGTGAACAGCAGTCTGTGGTCAGAAAATGTGGCCACCCTATCCTCCCAGCAGCCTGTGGTCAGAAAATCTGGACACCCTATCCTCCCAGCAGCCCACAGATTTTGATTATGAATCAGAAACTCTGTAGAGAAGGCATCTGAATCAGTGATCTTGAAAATCCATTCCTTGATCTAGAATGTGTAAAATTACGAATGGATTAAATAAAACATGTAAGACATGTAAATTGGAAGGGAGAAAAAATGAGTAGAGAACAAACATGGGAGACAGATGTAGTGTCATTTGAGTGATGGTTACACTGCTCCAGTATACTGCCTTTTGGAAACATTACAGGTTGTGCATTATCTTGCTAAATCAATGCAGAGTGACAGCCAGTTCAGTTCTAAATGCATACAGGGTTAAGGAAGCCAGGACTTCTCCACACTACAGAGAACGTGGTCAATGGAGTCAACTCACATCATAAGAGGCAAGGCTTTTCTCCTTCCCCTTCTTCTCAGTGTGTGAAGGAGTCCAAGCCTTAAAGTTACTGGTAGTTCAGTTGCTGGAAATGTGACTGAGGTGCTCAAGAAGAAAAGCAGGTAGCTAAAGAAATAAGGAAGAGTCAAGGCAAATACAGGCTAGATCATGGACCCCTACTGAGCTGGAGTTGTGTGCCATGGTTGTGCAGTTTTGCGCCCTTAGGCTGGGAATAGTGAAGAGAGACAAAGCTGTCACCTCTCACTTCCACTCATCTGTATTTGAGCATGACATTTTTAAACACCTACATTTCTTGTCCTCACTGAACACAACCATGGTTCTGATGACTAGATGGTTTTTCCCTCCTCCTCTTCTTTCTAAATTGGCTGCACTGTGTTCCATAATTCCCTAGTTGAGCATTGGAAAGCACCAGTCAAGGAGAATAAAGACATTGTGAGGGAAGGTGGACAGGCAGATGGGCTATAATATTTGATAGGTTAGTACAAAGTACATTGTTCTTTCTGGCTGAAAAGTTGCAGTGTACCAACAAGCTGTTTCCTGTTCCGCCAGAGAAACTGATGTGGGACACTATAACCCAGATGTTATTATGTTCAGCTGCAAAGAAGACGAGGACGCTGCTGTACCAGACTCTCATCAATGATGATGCCTCTGCGCCATGAGCTGTTGATCTCTTCATAGATGTCCAGGGGATTTGTTGGGGTTTTCCATCGCAGGGCTAACACAGAGACGAACAACCACACACACGCACATGCACATGCACTCCTATGGGCAATTTAGAGACACCAATCAACTTAAGCTGCATGTCTTTGGACTGTGGGAGGAAGCTGGAGTACCCGGAGAGAACCCACGCAAGCACGGGGAAAACATGCAAACTCCACACAGAAAGGTCCCAGGTGGGGCCCGAACCCAGAACCTTCTCGCTGTGAAGGGCGCTAACCACTGCGCCACAGTGCTGCCCCGAATTGACACCATGTAGAATTATTTTTCCAGTCATGGCTGTTGTCATTCCACGTCTTTGGCCATGTGTAATATTAATGATCTGTATCCAAAATCTCCAAATGACTTTAAAACTCTGGTAGTATATTTCTTTGTTGGAAACAAACATGCAGGCACTGGCATAGTGGGCTAAGCAATAAACATTCAAAAAAATTATCTGGTCTGAGTTATCAGGGTTCTGTGCCCCAGTAGAGCTTAATGTCTAGCAATGCCCCTGGCCTAGAAAAAATGTGGAAAAGCCAAAAAGAAATCAGTGCTATCACCAAAAAAAAAAGTAAATCCTTACTGGAACTATAGGTTAACAGGCAACACTACTTTAGTCAGTATGTAAATTGTGCCATGACTCCAGCATTACTGCAAACTATATGCCTCCCTTCTGTGACTGAATGCTACAGAGAGAGAAAGAAACAGGGACAGAGCGCTATTATATGGTTGTTCTGAAACAACAATAGTATCCCTTATCCACAGTGTTTGTGGCTTCCCAGCACTAGCCTCCTTTCAAATGCTTTCTGGTACACTCAGCTTTAACGTACAGCACTGACAGTGTTTTGCTGTAATTGGGATTTTTCATGTTAATTCCTGGTAAGGTAATTCTTTTATTGATCTTTTATAAAAGTATATTTTGTACAATCTGTAGTTATAATATATACAATATACATGCTGTAAGCATTGTAGCAATAATAAAGGTTTTACATTTATTTTTATAAAATGTTTTAAGTTCATTTATCTTGTGAAATTCATAGTCGTACAAAACACAATATTTCATATATACATAATTTATTACTGTTCAACATGTTAAAGTGTTTTAATAAATGTGCACAACTTTGAATTCTGTTATAATCCAATGCATATTATGACCTGTTTGGACTGTTTGATTGATTGTTTTGTTGGTTGGTTTGTCTTTTTCCCACAAGACATAACCCTGCACTGAGGAGAATGAGCCATTTGGAGGGTCTGAGGGCCAACTCATCTCATTTCACCCTGGAGGGACAACCCGTCCAAATCCTGGGAGGCTCCATCCATTACTTCCGTGTCCCCAGAGCCTACTGGGAGGACCGGCTACTGAAGATGAAGGCCTGTGGTCTCAACACTCTCACTACGTGGGCTCCCACTGCAACTTAAATACACTTAAATTCACAGGAAACTCATAGTTTGTGCTAGAGAAAGTCAAATACAGATCAGATTAAATAAATTGTGTTAACAGTTAATTAAATAACATAAAAGCAAACTAAATGGCAGGATCTCATGAGTCCTTGGACTGCTCATGAGATGCAAAGATTTATGCTTTGGTTGCTTTTTTAGATATGTGCCATGGAACCTTCATGAGCCTGAAAGAGGAACGTTCAACTTTCATGATCAGTTAGACCTCAGGTAAGGTGCTTGTCTTTTTCTTTCTTTATTGTAGAATTGCTAAATATTTCATAATGAAACGCAGAATGTTTTTTTTTTCTAAATGAAGCAGAAGATATCTGTGCCTTTCTTAGGTCCTATGTCAGATTAGCAGCAGAGATGGGTCTCTGGGTTATTCTACGTCCAGGACCTTATATCTGTGCTGAATGGGACTTGGGCGGGTTGCCGAGGTAACACCATCTGCCCGTTACTTAAAAATGCTATATGAACAATTTGCCACCAAAGTTGTTCTCATGTTTCTTTCAGCTGGCTGTTACAAGATAAAGACATTCAGTTGAGAACAACTTATCCTGGGTTTGTGGATGCTGTCAACCTCTACTTTGACAAACTTGTCTCAGTTATCAAACCTCTGATGGTGAGTCAAGCTCAAAATTTTGTTGTAATATCGCAGGTCAAATATTTTCTGAAATAATATTTTATTGGTGGTGAGGCAAACGTGTAATTGTCTATGTTTATTTAAGTTTAAAGAGGGAGGCCCAGTGATCGCAGTTCAAGTTGAAAATGAGTATGGATCATATGCCAAAGATGAGAAATACATGCCATTTATAAAGACTGTGAGTTTTTTTTTTTTGTGCCTTTCTTTATCACTAAAATGTTTATATTACAATATAGCGTAGCTAATTCAGCATTCATTTCCTTGTCCTGCAGTGTCTTCAGTCCAGAGGGATCAATGAACTCCTTCTGACTTCAGACAACTGGGAGGGCTTGAGATATGGAGGAATGGAGGGAGGTAATTAAGAAAATAAAAAATAAGTTTCATTATCTTTGCCCTTGATACTGTATTATTTTTAAGGCTATGATGATATCTTGCTAATTTCAGTTTTAAAAACAACAAACCTTCAGAGACTGTCGTATGGAGCGATCCAGCACTTAGCTGACATTCAGGTAAGTGATCATAATGGTGGGTCTTTGATGGTCATGGCGGTTTGGATTTGTATTTGGCTGCCTGTAAAATACACAATATTAGTTATTACAGCTTTTGCCTACTGTATGTAAGATCATCAGCTAAAAGCCAATAGAAAAATATAATTTATTTTTATTTTTATTAAAGATTAACTGCTGTTTTTTGTGAAGCCAGTGGTAGGAGACACCAAGATACTATTTAGTCCAGATGTGTTTTGTGTAGCCACAGAAACCTCTAATGGTGATGGAGTACTGGTCTGGGTGGTTTGATGTCTGGGGAGAGCATCACCATGTGTTCCATGCTGAAGGTATGAAAATGCTTTTCAAAAAAATTATTTTTCAGTGTTCGGTTGTAATTCAGAATTCATCAGATAAAGAAAAGCATGACTGCTTTGCTTAACAACTCATTTACTGCTCCTTATTGTTTTGCTTGGGCTCTCTTAGTCATTTATGATATGTTATGTTTATCAGACATTTCCTCAGTGATTTGTGTGTTGCCCCCCTGACAGACATGTTAGCTGTGGTGTCAGAAATCCTGGAGAGAGGCATTTCCATTAATCTATACATGTTTCATGGAGGAACAAGCTTTGGCTTCATGAATGGAGCGATGGACTTTGGCACCTACAAACCTCAAGTCACCAGTTATGGTTGGTAGGAGTTACATTATGGTCAAGAGACCAAACAGCAAAAGATGTTTCAGATCTTTGATGGATTTGCCTAACAAATGCATTGATTTATATGGTTTTTATAAATGTTTTCATTGCAGATTATGATGCTCCCTTATCTGAAGCTGGAGATTGCACCACAAAATATCTACTCTTAAGGAATTTATTCAGCCAGTACCATTGTAAAGTTTTTTCCAGCACCCACATACATTGATTGCATGCCAGATGGTTTGAGAAACCATGCCACTGATAACTTCATTACCTATAGAGTAATTGAATCTATCAAAATTAGCCTTAATTAAAAGTTTTGGCAAATTGTTTTCCAGCTGAGCTTCTTCCTGAAGTGCCGTCTCCTCAGAAGAGAAGAGCATATGAACCTGTTGTCATCCAGCAGCACCTGTCACTGTGGGACAGCCTGCACTTCACTGACAAGGTACGCTACAGATGGCAAGCCCCTGCCTGGTGTGACAGTTGATCATCTAAAGAATGGAAAATGTTGTATCCCAACTCCTACTCTACCTTTCCTGCTGGGATGAGAGCAAAATGTAAAACTTGGTGACCTTCAGACAGACAGAACATCTTTGTTATCAGTCTATGTGTCTGCTGTGGTGTCTATACTTGTCTAGAGATCTAACATCATGTGCTTCGCACCTGGCAGCTCAGGTCTGGTCACGTATCTTGTCCTGCCTATAAAACTACTGTTATACAGATATAAATGTAATCTTTTTAGAGGATGTTTATCATACCCTGCCAGATTTTTGTATCTAATATGTCAGGAGGTTTACTGTTCATTCACAGCCATACAGATCAGAGAGGCCGGTGAACATGGAGAATCTCCCTGTCAACAGTAACAATGGTCAGTCATATGGCTACACACTGTATGAGACCACCATCACGAGTGGAGGAACTCTCTACTCTAGGAACAACATTAGAGACAGAGCACTGGTGAGGACAAACAGATCGACTCAGAGACTGGCATGCATAATACAGATTCAAAATATTTATTGCAATTTTTTACATAAAGTAAATGGCTAAAAAATGATATTTGGTACTGTATGAGGTATTATTAAAAAGGCTGAGCACATGCAGTTGTGGTCTCAAAAACACATCACTGTGACTCTTAGGTTTTTGTGGACAGACAGTGTGTTGGTAGTTTGGACTACAAGACTCACGAGCTGACACTCCCTGATGGAAAGGTACTCAATTTATTTTCTTTCTCTGCTTAGCTGTAGAGTACGTGCCAGCTGCATGGCGAATCTCTTCCTTAGCTCTTGGAACACATACACATAAGGTGCCATACCCACCTCCTGCAATTATATTTATTATTCATGATTGAAAAAACAATGGATTTTAATTGTTTTATCTGCAAGATTACAGTTGGTTCAGCCAAAGATACAGCAACAACAGTTAGCAATCATGGTTAGGTAATCAGACCTTACAACAAAATGTGTTTTTGAGAAGCACTATAAATTAGGTTACATGTGGAATGTTTCAGAGTATTCTCTGTTATCCATTATTTTAATGTGGCATATTCAAACAAGCACATAAATACTGGACTGTCTCAGTGTGATTACATTTCTTTATTCAACACCTTTCCATAAATATCAAAGGGTGAGAGGGTGTTGAGCTTACTTGTGGAGAACTGTGGAAGAGTGAATTACGGGAAATCTCTGGACAAACAGCACAAAGGTATTCTACCTCCAGACATAAGTTCAGTCATTTGACTCTACTACTTTTGTATATTTCAGAACAAAGCATTATTTCAATTACTATTCCTAACATTCATTTTTGACATTAACCAAAGATAAAGTATCTGAACTGTTCAAACTTTTTTGTCTTTTTTATGTTTTGCATTCACACCCATTCAGTAACTATATGTAGAATAGTGCACACCAAAAAGTGCATGGCTGTGTTGGGTGCTGTCTCTATTGCATATGTTTGCCTCCTATTTTAATACAGGTATTGTGGGAGACATTCTCTTGAATCACACCCCTCTGAGAGGATTTACCATCTTCTGTTTAGATATGAAACCGGACTTTATGAGAAGGTTGGTTAATTAAAATTGATTGTAAATTAAAGGGCAGTCACCCTGAAACACTTAATAATCTTCTAATAAATCATCCTTCTCTGGTTTAAACAGGTATTGGTATGAATATCTCAGTTTATTTTGGGTGTTTAGTGGTATGGCTTTATGATTAATTGCCTCTATTAAATGACAGTACAGTGCATTATGTGGCACCACATGTACTTTGCTTTAGACAAACATAGCAGATTAGTCCACCAAACCCCAGCACTTCAATACTATATTTATCAAATATATAAATAAATAAGTACATAACTCAGTTATCATATTTTACCAACTCTTTCTTGGTGTTCATAATAGATTTAGTTTCTCATGATTACAATGATTTGTTAGTTTCTCGTGATTACAATGATTTGTTTCTTCTTGTAGATTAATAAATTCAGGTCAGTGGAAGTCAGACTTCAAGTCATCTTGTGTTCCAGGGTTTTTCCAGGGCAGACTGTATGTGGATGGTGCTCCCAGAGACACTTTCATCAGACTCCTGGTGAGTAAAATATATCTTTTATGGTAAACTGGATACATTAGAGCTGGGAATAGCTGCAGTGCTAATGTACAGTTAAGTCATTTTTATTTTAATACAGTATACTGCCTACACATTTAATATGTGTTATATACCATATCTTGGTTTTTAAGTTGCATTTTATGGTTTATGACATTTTAGACAGAATAAGAGTCTATGGGAATACTGGTACATTTAACTGTGCATCAATAAGTGCGAACGCACATTCCACATTGTTATTTTACTGATCATACCAGTACATCCATCTGCAGGGTTGGGGTAAAGGAGTTGTGTTTGTCAATGGGCAGAACCTTGGACGCTACTGGTTCATTGGCCCCCAGCACTTTCTTTACCTCCCAGGACCTTGGCTCAGAAGTGGAGAGAATCAGGTATACCCATGTTGGAACATGAACATTGTTTTGCATATTAATTAACTTCAGCAGATAATTTGTGGCAGATGGTGCATATATGATATGTCATATTTATGTTCTTTTTCAGATTATTGTTTTTGAGGAACAAAAAGCAGATGACAAAATACTGTTTGCTGAGAATCCTGATCATGGAAAGACAATTGATGTATACAAACTCCCTTTTTGCACAGTGCTGTGAAAAAAGTGTATAGCAGTAACAAAAGCCTTTTTACACACACACACACACACACACACACACGTACACAAAGTGGGATGTTTTTTGACACTGGAAGTTTCTGTCACTGATTTGAAGTTATTAATTCACTAAACATAATGCTTTTAAATATTGTAAAGCGGTATGGTCAGTTTGTTAATCAAAATTGTTACATCTTGCCATTGATTTTTTTTAATCTTATGTCTTTTGCCTGCAAATCATAAAATCCACCTTCTGATCTATCTTGTTTTCTCAGTATAAACTTTGCTCTGATAGGAAATATTAGTTGACACGCCTTCACAAGCTTCTCATTGGACCAGTGCCTTGTCCTTTGCTTTGGCGACGGTTTCATATTCACAAAACACTTGCACTAACCCACACACAGCCATTTTAAAACTCACCAGAAACAAACCCTATTAACCGGAAAAGAAGTCGTCTTTTCATTCACAATAAAGGGTTAACATTTGTTAGACTGGCAAGCATTGAAAGATGTAGACATAATTCGTGGCAAATATTTTATATAATAGTCATATTTAATTGTCCGTATAAATATGGGTATGTATATGATTCTAAATATATATTGTGATAACGAAATATAAATCAGAAATTCACCTTGTAATAGCCTATGTGTACATTAATCGTATGGATTTATTTTGAAAATAACAGCCGGAAGCTTAACATGTAGTTCAAGCCTTCTTGACCTATAAATATATCCGCTCGTGTTTCTGTATTCTGTTTCGGCACGGTAAGTCTTTGGTTATTTCATGTTACGGAGGAGTCGAGTACATATCTTTTACAGCTTTTCTTCGGTAACTTTATATTAACTAGTTTCACAGTTAATGTACTGGTAAATTATGACTTTTGATATGGGTATATAGAAGCTGTAGGAGCAGCTTCACAGCATCTTAGCCTGACGTTAGCCTGAACCAGTGAGCTGCTGAACTGGACGAGTTAACTTGAGTAGGTGTGGAGCTAAGGCGAGTTTTTACAAATCAAGATTTGCTTCCACACCCTACCATGGAGTCATTTGGAGCTGTTGGAACCGTTCTTGGATGCTCCGTGTGCTTTGCGGTGTGTGGGCTAGCGTTTGCAGCCTACAAACTTGGATTACTCTACCAGTTGTTTCACACGGTAGGTTTTCACAACTCATCATTCTAATTATAACTCCCGTAATTTTCTATTCGTTTCTCCAGTTGAAACATATTTTAGAGATGTATTGCAAAGGTCAGTTATAGCAAATGCACCTGCATTCTCTGTTCTCGTGTACTTTGTAGCTTGTTGCAGGTGAAAGGTAAGCTACGTAGGCTTTATAGTAACCTAACCTTTGACCAGCCTTGTGGTTTTCTAACACAAAGGCTGGGCCAAAGCCAGAGGCTCATCGCCACAGTATGTGGTTATTGTGCAATATGAAAAGGCTGGTGGAGTGAAGAGGTGACCTTCAGAGGGGGTATTATCTCACACTGACGGTTGCTTAACTGTGACAGAGGTTTTATTCTAGTTTACAAAAGTGTTTGTTTATATCAGCTCAACTTTTGCTCTGTCCTCTGACTCACTTCAGACTGAAACACAGAGTCCACGTTACGGTGGTGAGAGTGTGGCAGAGGTCCTCCGTGCCCATGGGGTCAAGTATGTTTTCACTCTTGTCGGTGGACACATCTCGCCTATCCTGGTGGCTTGTGAGAAGGTGGGCATCCGGATTGTGGACACCAGACACGAGGCCACTGCTGTATTTGCTGCTGATGCTGTGGCAAGACTTTCAGGTACAGTCATGTTACAAGAATGGATAGTCAAAATGTATGACCTTCAGTCTTATTTGAGTTATGCAACCTGCAAAATAAATAACCTGGAAAATAAAGGTGTGTCGCGATAGAGGGCCTTCCCAATGCAAACAATATTCTCAAACACAGGTTTAAGTAACAGCATTTGTAGTGTTTGTTTTACATTTAGCTGTGCCAGTGTTTTGACACCTGTATTGCTAACAGTTTAGTAAAGCTATAAATAGAACTGTCTCATCAGTAGTCGGTGTTAATTTCATTAACGCAAACTATGGCGAAAAATATTTGTTGACAGTGCTTTGCGGTGTGTGGGCTAGCGTTTGCAGCCTACAAACTTGGATTACTCTACCAGTTGTTTCACACGGTAGGTTTTCACAACTCATCATTCTAATTATAACTCCCGTAATTTTCTATTCGTTTCTCCAGTTGAAACATATTTTAGAGATGTATTGCAAAGGTCAGTTATAGCAAATGCACCTGCATTCTCTGTTCTCGTGTACTTTGTAGCTTGTTGCAGGTGAAAGGTAAGCTACGTAGGCTTTATAGTAACCTAACCTTTGACCAGCCTTGTGGTTTTCTAACACAAAGGCTGGGCCAAAGCCAGAGGCTCATCGCCACAGTATGTGGTTATTGTGCAATATGAAAAGGCTGGTGGAGTGAAGAGGTGACCTTCAGAGGGGGTATTATCTCACACTGACGGTTGCTTAACTGTGACAGAGGTTTTATTCTAGTTTACAAAAGTGTTTGTTTATATCAGCTCAACTTTTGCTCTGTCCTCTGACTCACTTCAGACTGAAACACAGAGTCCACGTTACGGTGGTGAGAGTGTGGCAGAGGTCCTCCGTGCCCATGGGGTCAAGTATGTTTTCACTCTTGTCGGTGGACACATCTCGCCTATCCTGGTGGCTTGTGAGAAGGTGGGCATCCGGATTGTGGACACCAGACACGAGGCCACTGCTGTATTTGCTGCTGATGCTGTGGCAAGACTTTCAGGTACAGTCATGTTACAAGAATGGATAGTCAAAATGTATGACCTTCAGTCTTATTTGAGTTATGCAACCTGCAAAATAAATAACCTGGAAAATAAAGGTGTGTCGCGATAGAGGGCCTTCCCAATGCAAACAATATTCTCAAACACAGGTTTAAGTAACAGCATTTGTAGTGTTTGTTTTACATTTAGCTGTGCCAGTGTTTTGACACCTGTATTGCTAACAGTTTAGTAAAGCTATAAATAGAACTGTCTCATCAGTAGTCGGTGTTAATTTCATTAACGCAAACTATGGCGAAAAATATTTGTTGACAAACCTATTTTTCAGGATGAAAATGAAACTAAAACTAACGTTTGATAATAGGAACAAATAAAAAGTAAACAATAATTTGAAAGACAGACAAATGGACATGAAGCAACTTAACAACCTGCCACATCTGTGGAATCACAAACTGTAGGTGCTGATCAGTTTCTTCCAAAACCTCTCTTGTTCAGGAGTTGATATAGCCGCTTGATGTGTTTCACTACCGTCTTGTATTCAGTAACGTTGTGTCTCTGGCATTAGGGCTTCCTGGAAGAGACAAGTTTATGAATTATATTCATCTGCAATCCAGAGAATTACACACAAAAACTGGTGGGACAAACTACACTAGGACAGTGCCGTACCACACCATATGAAACGGTAGGATAATTTAACATGAAACACTGTGGGTGTAGATGTAACATTAACGCTCCTTTCGGTTGTATATGTTATGTTGCTATCAGTCAGTTTGAAGATTAATATGGGCAGTCAACCATAAATCATCTCTAAACGTTCGCTGCGGAGATCTCACTTTTTTTATTGTTATCAGATGATTTAGCGTCACCTCTCAAGCTGAACACAGTGAAGAGGATTTTACTACAAATGTGAGTCCAACTTCTGCAGAGCAGAGGGAGACAGTGGGACTAAAACTGTTTTCCACAAACTTTACAATAGACAGGAAAAACATATGTAACCATGGTAATGTACACAACCAAGATGAAGAAGATATAGCCTACAGTAAACTTTAAAAATGCCGTTTAAAAATGAAGAAAACTAGACAAATATATTTTGACTAAATAGTGACTAAAACTAACAAAAATCAAATGGACTAAAATTAATATGCATTTTTGTCAAAAGACTAAAACAAAGTCTAATTCAGGTGTCAGAATTAACACTGTCAGTAGTGAGTGTGTTGACGGCTATTTTGATTTGTCTTTCCACCAGGCACTGTTGGTGTAGCAGCAGTGACTGCCGGTCCAGGCCTCACTAACACAGTGACAGCAGTGAAGAATGCTCAAATGGCTGAGTCACCATTGTTGTTAATGGCGGGAGCGGCTGGTACACTGCTTCAGGTGGGGTAGTTGCAAATATGATATGAATGTGCAGACAAAATAAAAATGGTTTGGAGCATAGACTGTATATAAATGATCCTTGTATGCAGTCTTGGGTTTTGAGCAATGGGTTCTGCTGTTGTCATGCACAGCATATAATAGACATTTAAATGTGTTTAACTTTTTTTTTTTTTAAACTGTTCTCAACCTTAACTCTAACCTCTCCATCAACTATGGTACAGGGCAGAGGAGCGCTGCAAGATATCGACCAGATGTCTCTCTTCAAGCCACTGTGCAAGTTCTGTGCCTCCATAAGGACCGTCAGGGAGATTGTGCCTACGATCAGGAAGGCCCTGGCCATCGCCCAGTCGGGAACTCCTGGTCCTGTTTTTATAGAGTTCCCCATTGACACGCTCTACCCCTTCCACCTGGTGTCCAAAGAGTTTGCAGAGAAAAACCCTCCCAAAGGCCTGATGGGAAAACTTGTCTCATGGTATGTTATGAGCATGTCTGGGTAACATTGATCATGTCTGATAAAAAAAAAAACAAAGATTAAACTGTACTGTATGACTATAGAGATTTGACTCCAGTAAAATATAAAATTTCACATCTGAAATGAATAACCTGTGTGGTGTTCTGGAAGCCCTCAAATCTGGAGCACTTTTCATAAATGGTAAAATACAGTCCTACATATAAAACTATTTTATGTGATGATTTCCCATAAGGTACCTCAATAACCACCTCAGTAACCTGTTTGCTGGAGCTTGGGAGGTCAGAGATATGTCTCCGCTTCCAGTTGACATCCCTCAAGCCACGGACAATCAGGTGCCGACTGCTCTTAGTATTTATGGTTTGATGCTACTTGCATATTCTTGCTAATTGTGTACAGTATCAAGAAGCCTGAAGAAGAGTTTTAAAGGAATTGTTTGTTTGTTTGTTTTATTTTTAATACAAACCAGGTACAAAGGTGCATAGAGATGGTGAGTCGAGCCAAGAAGCCTGTTATTCTGCTGGGTAGCCAAGCAACACTACCCCCAACTCCAGTCAATGATATCAGGTTGAGGACAATGTTATATGCTCCCCTCCACTCTTATTTTACATCCAGTGTCTTACTGTTTTCCTCTCACTCTTTACTTTGGTTGCTCACTGTTGATGTTCTGTAAAAATGTTCTAAAATAATCTGCCACTATTCCAATATCATTACAGTGTTTTCTTTTCACTTTTACTTAGCAATGCTCATCTGCTAAAAAATATTTTCCTGCTTTTACAGGAAGGCGCTGGAGGACCTGGGCATCCCTTGCTTCCTTGGAGGCATGTCCCGTGGCATGCTAGGTAAAGACAGTCCCATCCACATCAGACAGAACAGGCGAGATGCTTTGAAGGAGGCCGACGTGGTGCTCTTAGCAGGCAGGTCATACAGTACTACAGTAAATCTAATATTAACATAATAAAATTATGTTAATATCATATCTTATGGCTGTTGAAATACAGTGGTTGAACTATACTACAGCCAGAGTGGCCACAGATTATCCAGATACCTTGAGAAATGTTTACATTGTGTGCTGTGTTTGCAGGCACCGTGTGTGACTTCCGGCTGAGCTATGGCAGAGTTCTCAGCAGACGCAGTAAGATCATTGCCGTCAACAGAGATAAGACACAGCTGCTGAAAAACGCAGATATGTTCTGGAAACCAACTATAGCAGTTCAGGGTAGGTGCACAGCCTCCTCTCATAACCCAGGTTAATGGTTCAAGTAGCAATGCATCATTTTAGATATCCACTGATTAGAGTGTGGATACCTGAACCGAGCCCGACAGGACCCATCAGTACCCAAGGGTTCGAGCCAGGTTTGGGCAGAAATTTAGGAATTATGTTTGGACACGTAGGTCAAACTTTAGGCTAGATGGCCGGAGCGCTCAAATGTCTGCTTCATTTAATAACAAGGGGGGAAAACACTGTACAGACTCCACTCTGTTGGGCTTGTGTCAGGTTCAGACACTATATACTGTAAGCTCGTCAGGTCTGGTTTAGCTTTAGATGCCACACTCTCAGGGATGCCACAGAAGTCGGGTTTGGACAGAAATATGCGGTCCACTCCATGCTCTTCTGGTGATTAGTGAAGAATATGCCATTACAAATAAAATTTTTACTGGCTCTAATTTTTACACTGAGCTCTTAAAGTCACTACTGTATGTATGATATGCATTGTTACTTACAGAATTATTACTTAACCATTTCAACATTTATTTGTACTCCTTAGGGTCGAGTCATAAGACTAAAATATGAATATTGGCCTGTTTTAGGTGACGCTGGTTCATTCTTGGTGCGGCTTTCCAAAGGCTTGAAGGGACATCGCTGTCCAGAGGAATGGCCTCAGTGCCTCAAAGCAAGAGATGCGACCAAAGAAAATGAAAACAGGTAAGCAGAGGTGATGATCACTAGTCTGTGTTCTATGTATTTCAGTACCTGTTAACTGGCAGGTCCCGATTAGTGAAATCTTTAAAACACGAACACAGTTTCACCAATTAATGTAATGTCAAAGCAAATGCAACCAGAACTTGGTTAGTACAAAGTATATCTGTTACATAAACTAGGGTACTTTTTATTCCAGGGCTAAAGCTGACGAGAAGACTGAGCTCCATTTAAATCCACTGAAAGTCCTCCACCGTGTGGACGAGTTGATGGCAGAGGACAGTATTATTGTTGCAGATGGGGGTGACTTTGTTGGAAGCGCTGCCTACATATTGAGACCAAGAGGACCTCTGCGCTGGCTAGATCCAGGTTAGATACCACAGAAAAAACAGTTTATGAAAACAGTAGTGATTTCAGCAGTGGCTGTTTGGTCAGTTAAATGTGAGAGACTTGCTGTTTTAGTGATATAAAAATTAACCAGTTAACAACAGTTTGTTGATTTGACATTTTTGTTGGCACATAAAAAAGTTACAGGCGTGCACAGAACACTTTGCTGTTGAAGTCTCTTCAAGTGAAGTTAATGTACATAGGCCAAAATTGTTCGTTTTGGGCTACGTAATCACAAGTCATGTTTTATCTGTATTATAGCAGTGTATTCTGAGGTTAATCGTGTTTTCTTTGCAGTCATAACTTTAGTCTTTCCTGCAGGAGCATTTGGGACTTTGGGAGTTGGAGGAGGATTTGCCCTGGGAGCAAAACTGTGTCGGCCTGAGTCTGAGGTATAACATTGACTCCTGCATTTCTGAAAGTATTTTGTCTGATTGTCTGTTGTTCACTTTTCATCCTTTATGAATGAAACACTACCTTGTGTGTTTTTCAGGTGTGGATAGTGTATGGTGATGGCTCCTTAGGATTCAGTGTTGCAGAGTTTGACACATTCACAAGACATAAGGTAAAATCACCAATAACAGTTGTAAGCAACTGTTTTACCCACAAACAGCTGTTTTATTCTTAACAGATGCGCAGCAGTAGAATAGTTATGCATGTGACTTAAAGGGGTGTGAGGTATGAAACAGGTCTGGCCAGACATTAACAAACAGATCATTGCCACTGCAGGCAACTGCATAAATAACAGATATAAATCACTTAAAATTAAACCTTTATATACAGCATGAACTAGGGTTAGGCTAATGTAGACCTAAAGTATTGTATAGATGGATAAGACCAAACTTTAAATTAGAATTAAACTTGCATTATCAATGACTCAGTGCCATTTATTTCCCATACAGCATGATATGAATATCATGCTGTATAAGTAGTATAAAGGATTCCATATTATTGTGTAGTCTACACTGCTGTCTTTAGTACAGATTTGAAGACATTTTAAAGTCTATTGCTCGAATATATAGCTGTAATATAAAATTAGCTTTTAAAGTGTATTAACACCCTGTTATATACTTAACCTTACCATGCATTCTTTTGTAATGCAGGCTTCTATGCTTTAGTTTTCTTCTTATCATCTATATTTTATTCTCTTCATCCCAGACACCAGTTATAGCTGTGGTAGGAAATGATGCGTGTTGGAGTCAGATCTCCAGAGAGCAGGTTCCCATCCTTGGCAGTAACGTGGCATGTGGCCTTGCATTTACAGGTACATTTTCTGCATAACATGTTGAGTGGCTACTAATATGTTCACATTTATATGTAATGTCTGAGCAGTTTCTAAAAGGCCAGTTTAATTCTTGCCTTTTTTTTTTTTTTTTTGCAGATTATCACA